GGATGGCAGTGAGGCCTCTGGGGCTGCAGTTATTTCGCACAGCTGTTGCTGCTTGATTGGTGTTGATGAGCAAACGTTTATTCTAGGACATTTTCAGGTGGGTAGTTACCGTTAGAGGAGCCTTATAGAAGGTCTATATACCTCATAGAAACCTTATAGAAGCCCTATATACCCTAAACTTCCCACCTGTAGTTTCCTTTAAGATGGAGTCGAAAGGAGTTTGCACCTCCCAGTGCATTTTCGTTGTCGCCCCTCCGACTGAAGCAGATTTCGGGCTAGATCCAGGGATCCAGCACTGGTGGTGATCACGAAAGTAACGAGATGCTGATGGCGGCAGTGGTGGTGGTGCTGTGCTGTCTGCGTCTTACTTCAGGCTGCTTCCTGGCACGGCGGCGCGGCCGTGCGTGGCGAAGGGAAGGGGAAGTGGACCCTTCAGCAGCCCGACTTGTTTTGAGTGTTCCTTTGTATTCTTGACGTTAATATCTGGATTTCACATGAGTATACTATACTATACTTCTAAGCCCTTAGAGAAGGGACTCATTGAAATACCAGTTCCTTTGAGTTGGATGCTGTTCTTGCATCACTTTGTAATGTGCTAGGTCCTTTGAGCTTGTCTGCGGCAGTGCCCAGCAGCCTTTTGTCGATTTTGGGGCTTCTTGCTTGATCTCGTGGTTGGCGCATACGAGGCTTTGCAAGCGCACCTGCTGCTCCTTCGGTTTAGGGCCTAGGGTCATTGTGACTACGAAATAATGCTGCAACGATTAGCATTGCTCTCCCTACTCATTCGCTCATGAGAAAGGATGATCTGTGAGTCATATGGTCGTCGTTCGAACGAGTTCTAAAATGAAGGAATCAAGGATACCACCAGACCCTTTATATCAACCATCAGTTCCAGGGATAGTACGGGCTGAAGTAACCTATCCAGGAGAAACATCTTTTATAGAGGGAGTATATTCAGGAACAGATGGCTTTCTGGGTTTATTGGCAGCACCCACAGGCTCCATTTTAGTTCCTTTCTGTGGTTCATATTTCGGATCCTATAAAGTAATCCCCAAACAGGAACTACCATGGAGCCTATGGGTATACTGACAGTAGCTCATATAAGACGCAACTCCGAGCTGGATTGCCTAATCGCCCGAAACCCTAAAGCCGGCACCGGAATTCTGAAGCCCCAAGCCTAAGCCTTAAAGTGAGACTAGCTAAATCTTCCGTCTGTTGAGAGAACTGAATATTGCGTGGCCTTTGTCCCTAAACCCTAGACCCTAAACCCCTAAACCTTGAACCCTAAACCCCTAAACCCCTAAACCCTGAAACATAAGCCCTACGTCGTTGCAACCTTCAGCGTGATGGTTCGGCTGCCACTCGTGCTTGCCACTGGTGCACTCGATTTTGCAAGTCTATGGTTCGGAGTTTAGGGCCATCGTGGTTTTGGGTTTTGGATGAATCTGCGAACCCTAAGCCCTAAACCCTAAACCGTTTGACCTATGCTGCGGACGCGTATCTTTGGAAGAAGCGTAGAGGGGCCCTCCAGGTTTTGGTGCAGCCGTAGGCCGCTGCTATGATACGATGCCCTGGAGCTAGGGATCACCCACGTCTTGTTCTTGGTTTGACAAACCCTAAACTAAAAAACCCTACCTGGACCCCGAAAGTATGTAGAAGAATAGCCCATTTGAGGTTTTGGGCAATGAGCCCAAAACCTTAAGAAACCAATATATCCAAAACCCCAAGCCCTCTTCCCTAAACTCTGCATTGAGCTCCAAAAGTTGTGAGTCTTTGTCGTCAGCATTGTAACATCCGACCAAACAGCCCTGGAACCCTAAACCGTGTAGCACGCAAAATCCTGAAACCCTGCAAGCAACCCAAAACCCTCCTGCCCCGAAGTTGCAAATCTTCGTCCTCTTTAAACCCTAAACCCTACACCCTAAACCCTAAACCCTAAACCCTGAACCCTAAACCCAATCCTACAACCTTAGAGCTCCTAAGGCCTGAACACACCCGGGACTCGAAGCCCTAAACCCCATAGATCCCTAAACCCTACACCATGGCTTTCGTCGCCCGGCTCCTTCCAAGGAAGTTCAGGGAGGCGCCCGAAAGACGAGAGTGCTGCGCTGAGGCGACCAGGGTCTTAAGGAGGCCAACACGCGCACACATACACACACACACACACACACACACACACACACACACACACGCACGCACACAATCTCTCTCCCTTTCACTCTCTCTCTCTCTCTCACACTCTGTCTCTGTCTCTCTCTGTCTCTCTGTTTTTCTGTCTGTCTCTTTCTCTCTCTCTCTCTCACTCGCGCTCTCTCTCTCTCTCTCGATCTATATCTGTCTATGTATATATATATATATATATATATGAGCGCTCATATGTACATATACCGTGTGTGCACGTACATATAGATAGATGTATATACATACACACACACACACATACATTCAAGCATAGTTGCAAATAATTATGAGAGGGAACGAGGTTGTCACTGGTGTGCGGCACCGAGGGAGACCGGCCCGTACCACCTCTCCACATGCTGTATACGTTGAATGGCTGTGATGCAGCAGAAGAAGACTAGCAACGACAGCAAGCACTCTTCATATCATCGCAGCCGTCATCATCGTCATCATCATCATCATCATCATCTTATTATTGTTATTCTTATTCTTATTATTATTCTTCATCATCTTCATCAAGCCCTAAACCTCAAACCCTAAACCCCAAACCGTAAGTCCCAAACCCCCAAGCCCTACCCCCTAAAGCCCCGAGAGGCCTTTGCCCGAAGCCATGGAACTCTCTGCTTGCCCAATACATCTGCCGGAGTCCGCTTCGTCTCTCGGTTGTAGTAGTCGGGTTCAGGGTTTAGGGTTCAGGTTTAGGGTTTGGGGTTCAGGTTTCGGGGTTTAGATTTTTCGGGTTCAGGGTTTTGGGGTTTCGGGTTTATGGGGTTCATTACCCAGAGGGTCCATATACCCTATACTACTATGGAATTAGGTTTTGGGACCTAATTCCAGACTTAAAGTATGTATGGATCCTCTTGCTTATACTATATGGCTTGAAATTTAAGACTTGGAGGGCTTGTAGGAGTTCTATGGTTTAGGGCCTACAGGTTTATAGGGTTTGACGTTCAGTTTTTTTTGGTCTGAGGGTTTAGGGGGCTTAGTTTCGGGCTTTTCCTGTGTTCGGTGTTCGTTTTTGGTAGCTCAGTTGAAACTTGACGTATTTATGAGTTTTAGGTTTTGATGGGGGGGAGCGGACAGAAAGGGAACAAGGGGGAGGAAGGCTAGAATGTCGATTTTGGGCCTCATGCTTTGGTGCGATTATCAGGATCCTGGAAGCAGTCTATGTTATGAAGATTAAGGGTTTAGGACCAATGCTCTTTGGATTTAGGGTTCGGGTGCAGAGGCTCGCATGTTTCGTAGCAACCATACCAAGTCAGAAGAAGTTCGAAGCATATCGGGTTTGGGAATTCATACATGGGGCCTTTATAATTAGAATCGGGTTTGCGGGTATATTATACCATATTTATAGTAAGGAACACCCCCAACCCTATTCTAATTATTAAGGCTTCTATATTCGTCAGTTTGTAGGCTTTCGGCTTAACTTCCCGTCTCGAGAACAGAGCGGAGAATTATATAAGTTGGTCCACGCAAAGGTTTCAACCCTCTGGGAGTTCCAGAAAATACGGTCATGCCAGCATCATCCTTATTCTATTCTAGGCTCCTGAGTAGTACCCTTTTGCCCTTTTTATTTTGGGGTCTCCTTATTACAACCGAATACTAGGAAAAAGGGTGCCCTTATTATTTAGGGGTCACTCAGGAGCCTAGTATTGATCCTTAACTGGGGGAATCCTGGTGCCCGGAAAGCATGCCTTCAGCGCCGGACGCTTGAGCCATGATCACGCAGAGTTCGACCCGAAGAGACTGCAGGAAATGACCTGAACCTGAAGTGCTGTAGTCGTACAGCACATGGGTAGTTCTCTAAATTAGTGTCCCTTTCAGGGTCCTTTTTGTAAAGGTGCCGTCGAGTTTGGGGATCCAACAAGGAACCCCAATTTAGAGAACTACCCGCAGGCTGCATATGGCATGACTCGATTCTTGTGTGGCTCAAGGGTGTAGGGTTTAGGGCCCGGTGGAGCCCTTGTGATATGAAGGCCTTATCTCCTAGAGTAGGGTCTTGCGGTGACTATACTATAACGATATGCAGGAACCCTCAGGAATTATTGTAACATATTGAAGCATATTGTGACTATTGTTGATGATCTAAATCCTGCATGAGCTCATAAAGGACCCTAAACTATGGGAATTCCGGTACATCCTTATTGTGGGTTATGCAGGATTTAGATCATCAACCGTAAAACCCTTAACCCTAAACCCTAAAACCCAAAACCCTAAAACCCTAAAACCCTAAACCCTAAACCCTGGGCCTCGCATTTCACCTCCGGCTCCGGGGTCGGGGCCATGGCCGACATGCTGGAGGTCATCACAAG